ATATCAGGATTTAATCAGAGATGACTTGATGCCGTTTGCATCATGCGAAATGCGAGAGATTATACAAATCAGATAATGAGGTTATACATTTAGAATAGAATTAGGTGTTAAAAATGAAAACAATTTACTTTTGTTTCATGGACTTGAGTTCTGCATAAGTCATCTTCCAACACAATATCGCAAATTAAAGATTTAATAGCATTGATTCTTATTTCTGCTTCTGTATGCATTGCGACTGATTTATCCCACAACAAACATTGAAAAAACATTCATTTTGGACTTTCTATAGCATATTTTAACGAATGGGCACAAATCATCTCATAGCTCAGACCTGTTTGTTCGATAATAGAGCTTAGAAATTCGCTGCTGTAGTATTGACTGAGAGTGAGAAAGATAAAGTATAAGCACAAAAATATACTTTGATTCTGAGTGGGTTTTAAGACAGCATTGCCTTGGCTGCAAGATCTTCTGTTAAAGCCCCTGGAGAAGAATGGAAAAATGTGTGAAAATAAAGTGATGTATATGTATTTTGTATAAATATCTCTGTACATTTTTTAGGATTTTTCATTTAGTTTGAATTGAAGGTAATTGGCATTTAAGCTAAAGATTAAAGAACAACAATAGTGATGATGAAAACAAAACTTGCTAACATAAAGATAAAGCTATGTTTATTAAACCTCTGACCTATTGAGGAGAACATTTGCTTCTAGAGAAAACCTTTTCTAAGCTCTCAAGCTAATCGAAAGCAAAATTTTTATACCGGTAGTTTTTCTTGAACCTAAAGGTATCAAGGTATTCTGACCTAAAAAGGGAAAAACAGATTTTAGGAATATTCCTTTAACTCAAGAACCTGAATTTGCTCAATTAGCTGCTCCAAAGAGACTGTAGTTCAGATGTTGTTCTGCATGATAACAGGATTATAACTGCCTGTTGTGATGAAAACAAAGAAATGGCTGAATCTAAGGTAACAAACAGTTGAAAGTAGACCTATCCGTTCCCTGCAAATATCAACAAGCTATCACATTAGACAGGACTGTCTCATTCTTCATGATTGTCTCTAATTCCCTGATTTTCCACCATGTAGTGTTCGACATGTCAATAGTAGATATTGAAAGTCAAGATGTGTCAGCTTATTGTAAGACTTTTTTTAAATTTCCTAAATGGCTAAATAAAATCATTAATTCGAAACAGGTCTTTGACATGTATCCCCAGGCATATACATAAAATAGTTGAGCTTATGATCATTCACTTTTCTTAAGGCTTCTTGGAATTTCCAGATCAATTACTTGCATATGAGGGGTCAAACACACAGGGGGAGTTTTTTATGTACAAAGTTTGTGACCTACGGCAAAAAAAGGAAGAGAAATAAACAAGAAATTTAAGAGTTTTTCAGATTTTTATTTTTTGTTTGGTTCTTTCACAATGACACCTACTAATAACTCTAAATTATGCTTTATTGTAGTGATGCAAATAGGGTATCACAAAGGGCATCATCTTCTGTTTTAGTCCTTATTTCTGCATTGGAGAACATATTTTTGAAAACTACACTCATTACAATTTGCTACATTATCAATCAATGGTTCCATTTCTATGTATTTTAAAGCATATTTACATGCGGGGTTCTGCAGTTGATTCATATTTTTTTCTGAACTGGTCTATGTAGACATGTAGCAGTGGGGATGACAAAGAGAGCCCTGTGCTTTAAAAATTGATGCTCTTGTTGCTCATTTAGCTGATGGATCACTTGTCTGTCTGATGATGCAAGGTTGTATCGATTTCACTGCTCGTCAATAAATCTGCAGAATTTCTTGCAGAGATGAATAAAATCATTTTGTTTCAACTGCTCTGTATGTGATGAAGGAAGAAAATAGCTAAACCATGTTAGGCATTTTAAATGTTTCTCACATTTTTTAGAGGTATCTTTCTTTGTTCGGTGTTGAAATGTTGACATGCTTTGAGATCTTAGTGTGGGTTTTTTGTTGCGTTCTTTTTTATGAGTATAGTGTACACACAGGGCTAACGCTTTGTGTTACTGTGCAGCCTGTGCTCTTCTCTTTGGCCTGGCTGACTTATCGCAAGTCACGACTGTTGAAGGGGGTGGGGGTTTGGAAGCAGAGAAGTATAAATTGAAAGATTATGATTCCACAGCATCAGTGGTAAATCTATTGAACAATCCTGAGGTAAATGACAAAGGTGTTTCAGGGTGTACTTTAAAATGTTCCTCAGGCCTGGATGTGCGAGACGTGACCCTGCAAAGGTGCTCGTTCATCCCTCTTCTCCTTCTGCTAATCTTCAAGCATGCATTTATTTGTAGGGCAAAGATGGGCCCATGATTTGTTAAACAAATGATAAAATTACTAAATCTATCAATCTCCATTGATAAAGTTATAACTAAGTTTGGTAAACCTGAATTAATTCATGTTTATAGAAATGTTGAACCGATTTGTAATAATTCATAATCTTTTTCATGACATTAAATACAGACAAAGGTTTTAGTGATGACATAATTCATTGATGAGCGTATTCATTATAAAGGACCTTGAAATTGACTAAAACCTTCAAGCATCCATAACTGGTTGTGTGCCAGCAAATATCCATATTTTAAAATTTCTCCTCACAGTAGCTCAAACTTACTACTTTTTTTCAAATGGTGAAATTCTCTGTAAAGCTCCCTTCATTTATAGACTTTCCTATTAGTCATCTAGATATAAAGGAGGTCTTGAATGTTGACTTAAAATGCATATAGAGTCTGCATTAACTTTGGACGTAAAGCATTATGAATTGGATGTCCTCCTCAGTAAAAACAACAATCCTGTTTTAGGACATCAGCTGACCAAATTATCTTGTCAATTAAACAGGACAATTTATTTCTGCAATGTCTTCCTATAAACTTCCTCTCTCTCGCTGCCTGCAGCAGGCTCCCCACGCTATGACAATCGTGGTGCAGAAAGAACCCAGCTTAATCCGTTTTGAATGCTAGGGAAGGTGCCTTCACTTTATGCTCTGATAATATCAGAGGAAGGCTAACTTTAGCAATGCTACATCCCGATAAACACAGATGCAGCAAATCGTTATCATGATCGGTTTAACGAATCTGACCCACATGCAGCGAAACCACTCAGAGAGCACGGAAAAAGTTTAACCAGGTTTATTGAGGTGATTAAATAGGAGTTTAATCTGGAACTCCGTGAGCTGGTAACCGGGAACTGGAAGTGAGAAGGGAAGTTCAGTGGTCAGTTCAGGTACCGTGGGAATCTTGGAAGCACTTAGATTTCGCAAGAACGGGACTTACATGGGAACCTCGTTAGTCCTTGAATCCAGTCTGTGTGGTAAATCCAGAGAATAGTGCTCACTTTGGAGGGCGGACAGGTTTAACAAGCATTGGACCCGGAGGAGTAATGGAGCGGACTGTCACTCGGATTTCCGGTGGGTACTTGAATGGAACATGTGAAGGTTTTCCCCTGCTCAGTGTAACTCGGTTTTTCCTTCCAGGGGAGAGAAGGTCCAGGAATCCAGTAACACAGGAAAGCATCCTGCCGGGGAGCAAAGACAAAAAAAACTCGTTAGACTCAGAGAAACAAAGCTAGGTTAGACTCCTCTAAACTCAGCTTGGCCAAAGTACCCAAAACTGGCAAACACTCTGGCGTCGAGGTAGTGACAGTCCACTGCTCAAATACTCCTTCAGATAATGATCCAATGAGCTGCAGATGTGCAGGGAGGGACAGCGAACAGGGCACCTCCTGGTGGTGGAAAACAGAGAAACACAAACAGGTCATACAAACTGGATTCCACTACTTAACTTAATAATCAGTTAATTTTTTTTATTAAACATAAGCCTGTTTGTGTCAATGTTTCCTCACAGCTGATGTGGGGATGACCATTATTTTTGGACCAAGGTGGATCTCTACTAAGAATTCCTTCTGTATTTTTAGATGATTTATAAAGAGATTCTGATGCCAATCTGGTTCACCCAAAAATCATTTTATACTTTTCTTTTTAATAATGAATTGGATGAAAATCTATTTTATCATGCTATACATTTGCAGTTTTTGACCTCTGGTAGATATGTGTGATATCTTCTGTAAGCTTCAGCAGGCTCTTTTGCATGTTTCAGAGCCCTCAGACAGTCTTTTCTGGTTTGTCTTCCCTTCATTTTGTGCTCAGCATTTGACAGAAATCCGATTTCAGTTCAACTGAATCACCTTTTTCCTTCAGGGTTCCATTATAGTGGAGGGACCAAAAGGTTGTGGCTTCAAGAATAGGTGGCAACCTCCCTTTAGCTCTACTATTCTTACAGAGCTAACTAAACTACATGTCAGCTCCTGATGGCATTGCTTTTAATTATCTCCCTGGCAGACTAGCTGCCCTGTTTAGACAAGCTTCAGTATCATATTACTGTTAATGTGAAACTCATCTATTGTGCTTTTCATCTATGATGGCTGATTTTCTTTTTTTTAAATTAATTATTCAATAATAGATGACTGCTTGTTCTACAAATTAGCTTCAGGGGTTTATTTTTCCATTCTTGTTATTTAATTTTGGATCAAATGGAATACATGATCACATGAAATTCATTTTATATCCTGTTAAGAGAGGACCATAATCGGAGACGCGCTCCTCTGTCTTCATTTTGTCACAGACAAAAGTTGCATAATATTTATTTCACGGGCCGTTGGATAAACCCATGTGAAAGTCCCTTTCTCTTGGGGCAGGGGCTGCCGCTAAGTCCTGAGCACTCAGCCTCCCTCTTTTCCACCAAACTAAATGAAACCACACTGCAGGGCAACAGAAGGACAAAGATGTGCGCATAAATGCACTACATCTTCTGGGAGCAGTACTGTAAACATGCAGGACTTCACTGCCGTGCGCTGGCGCTGCTTGGCTCTCTGAATATTCATCCTTGTAGCCCTCCCACCATATCCCATCCCACGCTCCCCCCCCCCTCTCTCCTCCCATCCCTCGCCTGCTCCGCGCCGCTTTTATGCTAAGCACAAGACACACAGATGTAAGTTTAATCCAGGCAACAGTAAAAGCTGGGGAATGAATCCTGCCCTTTTTTTCCTACTAATGTGCAAATCAGAAGAATTTCCATCAGCCAGCGCAGCTGTAAAGGTGGACTGCTGGAACTGTGTGGCGTGCTTTATTCTCTCCATCTCTTTGTGTGGATCTATTTACTCTTAAAGCTCGGCTGCAAGAGGTGTCTGCTCAGTGTTTAAAGGACTCTGCAGGACCGTGACTCTGTTCATTCATCTTCAGACAAAACAGGAGGACGGGTAGATGAATCAAGGGAAAACATACATTTAAGCAACGCCTTATTTTTTTTTTCTTATTTAAATGGACTTCATGTCTCTAAATCCAGTGATTGCAGTTTTGTTTGACCCAAACTAAGAGAGGTGAAGCAACAATGTAGTCACTGGCTTCTGACTTATTTTGGACAGGATTTTCACCTGATCAGATATTCATCACTCTTTGCAGAAAGGAGGAATTTACACAGACTTGAGTATTCGGCTCAATCTAGAGCATCCTTCAGACTGAATTAGTACGCATCCTTGAAGGAAACTTTGTTACCTTGGTGGAGTTTTTCCCCATTTGATTTTCTTCAGAGGAGAATTTTATTTGAGAAGATTTTTATCAAAACTGTCATTTAGAAGCCAGGATGCAGGTATCCTTAGTGTGCACAGATCACCGTGGGGGAGTGAGCCGCAACACAGAGGACCGGCTTAACCGCCAGAATGCCAACAGCCCCAGCACAGGCACCCGCAGCAAGTTCAGGGCAGTGGCGATGGTTGCTCGCAGTCTTGGGCAGCTCTCAGTTCAGAGCGTGCCCTCCTCCAGCGAGCAAAGCATCAAGACGGGCATGAAGTATAGGTAGGCATGTCTGAAAGCATTCAGCAATCAAAATGTTTTTCCCCGAATTCTTAAATATCCAGAATTTTATATGTTCACATGTTAATTTTCAAAATGATCTACCTATACGAAAATTATAGGGGGATATAATCTAACGACAATAAAGTATTTCACCTTAGGCTTGGTATTTTATCCATTCATCAAATATTTTTTATATTAAGCTATAGGAAAATAAATGTAAATTTGGTTGTAATAAACCAACCATTTTAAAAACTAAACTTTGTCTGCCAAAAGTACACTGCAAAATAGATCAATATCTACTGATTTGTTTTAAACCAAACTAGAAAAATGTTCTACTTTTAAATTCTACATTCTACACATTTAGACCAAGTTTTATTAATTCTGTTTATATAAGATTTTTACTGACATGCAAATTAAACCGCTTTGCTGCACTTTAATGCAGTGAATTTCTTCCCCAAATTTGTCAGTTAACAATAATATATGTCACATATCCTCAAATTACCTGTTCAGTTTTCTTTGGATCACATTAAACTAATGTTAGCTTTATAAACTTAATACGTATGTATTGTTTGAGAGAAATGAATTGATACACGAATTGTAATAATTATGTTATTCCCTCCATTTCCCTATCAATCTACGTTTTTTTTATTTTATATTCAGCGCTTAAAGTCTAAAACTGAATTGGCAGGTCAGATCTATATGAACAAACAGAACGGAGCAGATTACTGTACAGGATTTCCACTATGCGTATAGTTCTGTTGCCCCCATTTTCAAAAGCTTTTTATTTCTTGCAGACTCTAATCCTCTTTGCATGCAGGAACCTCCAGGCAACAGGAGACTGATAGAATTTAATCTAACAGTTCCTGTTTTAGCTGTTTTGGCAAATATTTATTGCACAAATGCATTTCTATCAGATTTGCAAATGTCTTCCATTTGCATGGTGAATTATTCAAATTAGCTGGGCTATTACACAAATGCTGCAAGAAGAAGAGATGAATAGGAATGAAGATCTCTTCAAATGCTCTCTTAAATCACTGAGGAGTGAGTGTCAGACTGAGCAGTGGTAGACGGCTATAATTCGAGCACTGTGTATTGCAGTGTTCTGTTGTCTGTACCAAGCTGGTCAGTAATGGTGAGTATCGGCAACGTATCAGCATTGCAGCATATTTTCTTTTTATTCTCCTGTTTTGTCAGTCATGCGTTTCCTTCCATTTAAGCTAAGGTAATGATACATGAAACACATTTCCAGCAGCTATGTGGCCAGTTTCTGATTAGCGGCGTTCTAAAGCTGTGACCTGATATCGATTTCAGCTGATTACAGTTTCTCTGTAACTACTGTAAGAAAATGTGTAAACTTAACTGATAGTAATAATTAATTTTGTTCGGATTTAGGGGAAACTTAGAATGCTTAATAAAAGGAGTCATTATAATATAGGGGTTGATTGGGATAGTAAACCAGTTGCTCTAAGCTGTCTGAAGCAGAAGTGCAGTATGTTTGACAAAAATGTATTTTACGGCAATACTGATGAGTGTTTTGATGATGAGGCTTGAAAGAAATAAACACATTCCCCAACTAAATATTGTTAATGTCTTTGGTCTTATTGCAAACACCGGCCCCAGATAGTCAGCTACTGGAAACAAAAAGAAGTTTTTATCTCAACCAGATGGTTTCACTCAATAGGTTGTCCATGAAGGATTTCCCTTTTCCTGACAAAGAATAAAATCTGTTGTAGTTTTTTTAACCATATTACCTGGACATCATGATGCCCAGTAAAAACATTTTCTGTTAAGAAACAAAACTATAATAAATATTTTACCTACACAAAAAAAAGGATTGCATCATTTAATATATAAGCATTTTAAAAATGTTTTACCAACAATCAGTTCCAACCAATAATAAATGGTGTAAACCGCAGCCCTTGCATTAAGTCCGTCAAATGGCAATTATTGGGTTGGTACTATTAGCTTATTTAAAGCAGCAGTGTGCTGATATTTGGGAGCCTAGCATGTTCAATGACTGTCTTTTAAATACCCCAAAAACATCAGAACAGAGAAACTTTGAGTTTCAACTTTCTTAGCCTGAACAAACACGTTTTTAATCACCACACTGATACTGGAAATACTTGTTTTTGATTTGTATTAATTTCTTCAATCCATATTGGCATCTACCGCTAAGACTAGTTTCTACAGGAACTTGGAAGCGCTAAGAAATGAGTCTTTTACAAAGATGAAAAAGAAAGAAACTCGCCATCTAATTTTCAATGCACTGTTAAAAAGTCTTCAATGCACATATTGGCCATAGATGTTTTTACATAATTTGGTTTTGTCCGTCAGAATGCACCTCAGTTGTATAAATAACTAACAAACTCAGTTAGTTCTTGTCTCATCTTTTACCTCAAATATCTGGATTATTTTCTGTGTATCTTTTTAAACCACCTATTGTGATAGATATAAATGTTTTCCTTTTATAGTATTAAGTCGTGGCAAAATGGAAAAAGCAGTGTTGGGGTCGATCTGAGGGTGGATTTTTCTGAAGCCACATCCCAATCTTTTGCATGTGATTTGCTGGCGGCAGCCCTCTAGTGTTGTCTCACTGTCATCATTGAGCCTAATGATATTGAATGAGAAAAATCATTTGCAGCTCGGGGGCCAGCGGCTTTTTGTGTTCTTGTGCTCTCACAGTGTGCTATGAAGTGCACAACGGGATTTATACTTGTAAACTCGGCTCACATCTGATGTAAACCGAAGGTAATACTGTATGTGACTTGATGCAGTGGGAAGCCCCGGTCGCTCCTGCACAGACGGCAGAACATAGTGTTTGTTTGTATGTATGTATTTTAGTGGGGGGGGCAGCATGAAAGGAAAATTGCTAAGGTTATTGCTGCTGTATGCACAGCTCCCAAATGGAAGTACAGTGGGCTGAAGTGATCTGCGCTTGTGTCACTGTGAATATTTCAAATATACCTCTAGGAGTTGAAGCTTGCAAGCCCTTTGACATCTACGTCCATTTCACTTTTCATCTGTAAAATACCCCCCACCACTGCTAAAGACGGAGGGAATTTCTCATTTCTCTATTGTGACAGCTGAAGAGGTTTGTGGTTTTATAACTCTGCCCCTAAAGAATGCAGTAAAGCTGTCTTATCTGCATGCCAAAAACTTTCCCTTATTATCCGCTCTGCACAATTGCTGTGAAATTCAGATCAGACTCAATTTGCATAAAGTCATTGCTGTCTGCTTGAATGGCAGCCTTGAATTTGACCCGTCTGCCGTTTAGTTTGGGAGTGACCTCACTCAGCAAGGCCTCTAAAATCAAAACGCACCTCTTTTGAAGGGATGAGGGATTGCGGCAGCTTTATTGGGCTGCCAGTTCGTCTTTAATGGAACTCTGCGTCTGACAGATATGACTGAGTAAAACCACCGAGCTTGACTGAGAATCATCACCTCTTCCGAGGAGTGATTAAAAGCTTTTATTCTGAACTGAATTAATTATGCACACCAAATGAATTGTGATTATGTAAAGCAGTCTTTGTGAGAGAATGTCTGTGAGACTGGGCGAGCGGTACAGGTAAGGCAGTTCAGTCAAGTATTAGCTGTTCTTTCAGTCAACCAAACCTTGCTGACGGCAAGAGTTGTTTTGCTGAGAGGCAGCAGATTTGCAAAGTCCCAGAGTTACAAAAGCCGGTGTGTGTATCCAATTCCAGCTGGGCTGCCATTTTTGTGCTTTGTAAAGACAAAAGTTTGACGGTTTCACCTCAAACTGCTGTAGTTAACAACTGGGAACAGAAACAAGACTCCAGAGAATTTTCTGTGAAATACTGCAAGTTGGAAATGTTTGTTCAGCTTATTCTTCATCCCTGCTGAAGGTCAGATGCATTTGCATTCTGTGATTATTCTTATTTCACTCAATTCTAAAATGCGTTTGTGTAAGATAATGTTTGAGAAGTAGGCAATTATAATGCCTTACATTAGGGATGCAATGTGTCAGTAATCTGTACATTTATGCAGTATCAGTGCATTCACTATTGTGTGTGAACAAACGTATCTTTCAACATGGAAACTTAGCTATATTATTAAAGATTTATCAGGAATCTCTTAAAAAGTCACTTAAAATTTCTCAAAATAAATTGTCAAAGTCATGGGTAGGTGGCTTTAAAAACAGATCAGACGAAGGTCTATGAGTCACACTATGAACAACTATAAAAGCACTCAGAGAGCGCAGACCTCCGCCAACCAGCAAATATTGCCCCATATTATGACTTATACTTACAGCTACAACTTGCACATGATCTGGATCATTAGGAAATTTTAATGAATTACTCCTTTTGCATCAGGCGCACCTCTGGTGAAGCAAAACATCCTTAATTCCGTTCCAAAATTCATCAGTTAAGGGGCTGATTATCCTCCCGCAGCAGTGAGTGTGTTGCAGTGAGCTTGTCGCAGATATTTTGGATTTATGGCCAATTTTGAAGCGTGGTCTGCGCTGTGTTATTCCACGCCACAACGCAAGAGGGAGAATCACAAACTAGCTGTGGGTCTAGATACGGCTGAGGAAGTAAACTAATCCTGCTAACAGACAAACATACACAACCAAACATAAACTCCTTGGCAGAGGTAATGAAAGATGAACAGGAACCCTAGTTTCCAAAAGTACTTGGACTATATTTTTTCTCTGGAGAAAAAAAAAGCTAACTGGTACCTATTCAGAGTTTTCTCGTTGTTCTTGTATTCAATACCAGCTCCTTTCTCACTATCTACTCCACCAAGTGTTTCAAGAGAATCCAGTCAAGCTAAAAATAAATAAATAAAAGGTGTTGGAAGACTGCTGGTCACTGATTGGTTAGGACAGTAGCCTCCAAACTTTTTCCCCTTGGTCCCCATTTGGAGACATTTTTTGCCTATTGGCTAATGGCAAAAATAATAAATGATGAGTGAGAAAGACAGTGGTTTCTCATATATATTATGTCACTTTGGTGAGTTGAAGACTCGTTTAACAATGAGCT